CTGAGCTCCTGAGAGCGACCCATTCTTTCACAAATGTTTGTAAAAACAGTCTGCATGCCTAGGTGCTTGAATTTATACACCTGTGGCCATGGAAGTGATTGGAACACCTGATTCCAATAATTTGGATGGGTGAGCAAATACTTTTGGCAATATAGTGTATGTTGAAGGACCAATATAGATGCTTTTTAAAGAAAACTGTTTCTATGCCACCCCTTTGACATTATTTATATTTTATGTATTTGAGTACTCTAATAACATTTTTTTTTAAATATGTATATGTAACATTGTTTAATATGCAGAGGATTCCACCTATCATACATTTATTGGGTTCAGGTATAATAGCGAGAAACAGCACCACTTACTGGTAGATGGTGGTAATAAGTGGAGTGTACAGAAACGTTGCCAGTCTTTGAATGACGAGCATTAGGTAGGTTTATTGAGGGCACGCTTATATATTGGATGTATTAATGTTCTATTTGTTAGCCAACTCTAAAGTGTAAGTAGATTAATGCAGATATTGATGTATTCAAAGGAAGTTTTGCTCTTTATAAAATAAGGCATACACTGTATGTTTTTTTTTTTGCACACAGCTACATCTTATCCTGTGGATTAATGCAGATAAGATCCTCGTCAAAGAGACATGTGATGTGTGTTTTTAAAAGCTAATTTGTCTAACGGACCTAGTGAGTATATATCTTTTTTTTTTTTTTATGCACAAAACTACAACAAAAATCTCCTGACTAAATCAAGAAATAAAACATCATGATTGGCTCTAAGGAGAGAGGAAACAGAGGACACTCTGAGTTTACTAAAAATCTGCTACCAACCAGGTTTGCTGGGGAGAATGTTACTACGGTGAGAGAAACAGAGGTTAAGAAAACTGTCTTTGTAAAACGGAAACCTTAGAGTCTCCCTTATTTTAGGTTTAGGAAACGTTCTTATTGTAATGGACCCCAGGCCTGGTTAACACTCTGAAAAGCTTATGTCTATATCCTAAGCTAACCGCTATCTTTTTTCCTCGTGGAATCAGGATTTTTGGAGACCAACAATGTAATCCATATTAAATTATTTCAAAACAACAGTTCTGTATTTCATGTATGATTTTTATTTATGTATTTATTTATTTTGCAAAGCTTTATGATAATGGATAAGACAAATCCAACTTTGACAAGTGTGGACATGTTACAGAACTCCAGAGGCACGACATTCTATTAAGAAACCGGTGGTGGGAGTTTACAGTGGTTGCAACAATCACATTGTACATATACCAACATCTAAATAACATACAGATTTCTAAAGAGCGGGTACTGAAAACCATTTATGTGTTTTAAACTGTTAATTGTCAAGAATGATTAAATTCAGATGAGGCAGAGAGAACCGAACAGAATGTATCTCTGTTAAGTTGTCAAATAACATTTATTTTATTTTTTTTTCTCTCTCTGCTTTATTAATAAAAATCACCACTATTTTGACAGATTTGTTATTCTAGATAGAGCTTTTCAAAGTAAGAGCCATATCCTTACCTAACACATAATTGAAATGACCACTGGAAGGCGGGGCACTAAAGGAGAGATTGGAAGATTGGAGAGAGGTTCATCTTTTTTTGTCTTGCTGATGTGTTTTATACGCTTTTATTCTAATTACTATGTTATAATGATGATTACACTTACAATTAGGTTGCGCAAGCTTTTTTTTTTACTAATTATATAGTGGGCAATGCCCTGTACTCCTTTATATTTCGGTTTTATCTTTCTTGCAGCTGTCTTTAAACAGTCTCACTTCTTCCTCCTTGTTCATCCTCTCTTTCAGGATATTCTCCAACTCTACCAATGGCATCTCCCTTACATCATAACCCTGAGATGTATCTGTCTTATTCACAATCTTTTCATTGCTGTTGGGATCATTTCTTCCGACTGCACCATATGTAGGGAAGAACTGTTGCATATTTATACTGCCCTTATCTTTAAGGCCATTGGGTATTTTATAGGTGGGGCAGCAGTAAGCAGACCAAATGTACTCAGGAACAGCCACTCTGTCATTGATCAAGCTTGTGTTGGACTCGTAAGGCATGACACCAGTTATAACGTACATTTCACCTCTGCAGTGTGGCTTTATTTTCTTCTTAACTTTTTCCTCCCATTTTTCCCAAGGGCCTGAATTTGATTTGTCCACCTGGGGAACAATGTTTGTCAAAGTAAAGGTGGCTTCTTTGTCTTCTTCTGTATTCATGTGGCTACAAGGTGCGAGATGTCCTTTGGTGAAGTTCGACTGCTTGTAGTCCTCAAGGACCGCTTGGCTTTTAAACACCTCATTTAAAGGATGCATTTCCCGACTGTCCCAATCGGGAGATACCAACTGCAGAAAAGAACACCAGTACATTATTGATTAACTAGGTTAGTCACCTTATTTCTTTGATGAGGTACAACAAATCAACAACTCTGTTGGCAAGACACAATTATCTCTTTAGACTTAAAAGCTAGAAAGCTTGTTTACAAACTAGGGGAATTAACCTTTTTTTCCTAAAAAAAAACATTTGTATCTCAAATCAAGTTACTCAAAATAGGTAGAGCCAGAATTGGCTCTTGGTCAAAATAAATAAAGCTGTCTAAGTCTAATTGTATTTACGTAGAGTAGTGTTACTTTGAAATAACATTAACAGCTATAAGGTTCCTCTACATTATGGTCACATTAATGTTGCCATAATGTAGAAACACATTGAGTTGCTGTAATAGAATTAGATTAGATTAGATGATTAGATTAGATTAGATTAGATTAGATTAGATTAGATTAGATTAGATTAGATTAGATTCAACTTTATTGTCATTACACAGGTACAGGTACAAGGCAATGAAATGCAGTTTAGGTCTAACCAGAAGTGCAATAGCAGCAATTGCAGGATAAATAATGGTTCCATAAATATAGGACA